ACTAGACCACCGCGGCGGGGCGCGCCAACAAAAATATGTGTTGACTGAGTAGTCGAAGTTGTTTTCAGCAGTGGTGTGGAGCAGTAAGTCTCTGCTTTCAGCTGTGTTACTGAAAAAAAAATCATAGCTACGACGATCATTTCCTCGGCGTCGCAGGCTGTGAAAGCACCCAGAGCGACAGCGGCGATAGACGCTCAGCTGACCTCAGGAGGAGGAAGTTGCACTCGTGCATCCCATGCTGTAATAGGGACGATAGTTATAGCATGAGAGCAGAACAACGACATAGTGACAAGGACATAAAGTACGTGACTGTCATACCAACTAGCCCAAGCTACCACACTTCTAACGTTATAGGGAGTTTTGGAATACCATATGCGAAGATGACGGGCATTGCTGGGGTGGAATTAGCGTTCGCCACTTCAAAGGCTACTGTCACCTTTTATCGGAAACGAGCTTACTCGGCCATACAAATCTCCTGTACAGAGAGACGGCTCTGAGCAAGTGTTGCACTGAGCGAACGCTGGTAATATATTTTATTTGGAAAGTAAGGTCACTTTTCTTTCGGTGCACCTACCGACATTGACTATAACTTGATGTCGAGCTACAACCCTAATTCTGGTGATTTTACACAGCAGTCTGGGTAGTTTTGATGACGTCAAGAGCAAGAACACTTAAAAATGGCCGCTTGCGCGTCACCTTCTCGATCGTCTGCTCCTGCTGAGTGGTCATGGCGTCGCCGTCATGCATCCTAAACTTGTGAAGCGGGCTAGCAGATTCTGGAGTAGGGAACGTGCACGCTAATACAACATATACGCCTATCAGAGGGCAAATGCATTACATGATTTCAAATTTCTTGTCATGGCGCCAATACATTGTCAAGTAAAGTCTTGTGCGGCAGTGAAACGAAGTAAATTATGTGCATGTTTTAACGATTCCCGTCCGCTTGGGCGCTGAGACAAGCGTGGGTCCACTTCCTGCGCCGCTGCCGAGGCGGAGACTGGACGTCAACCAAGCGGATTTTCAGTGCACTTCACTCTGCATGCATACACGCGCAACATGCACTTGCTAGTGCTGACCGACTTCGGATTGCTGACGAGAAACCTTTAATTGTAATGCCCCTTGCCATGACCGCTCCCATACGTGTGGCGCGTAGTAGAGACAGCAGACGAAGCAAAAGATACACGGACGAGGATACCTCACGAGAGCTTGTAGGTGCACGTACTACCACCGGGTGGCGCTGCTCATACCATTACCGCTGCTCATACCAGTAATCACTGAAAAGGCAAAAACGAAATGAGGGGAGAGATGTTTTATGATAAGTCAAGGGGAAGCGCTTTACTGTTTGGAGCGAGGTAGGGTTACCTTCAAACGCGTGTCATAAAGCAATATTCAGTAAAAAACAAGAATAACGTTGATGCTGACAGGTAGTCAAGGAAGTGATGAAGTATGTTCTCATTTAGTGCGGCAATATCCCCCCAGGTATACGTGGGGGTACAAAGCTACATAAGGCTTTGAGATTCAGGGACAAATATAGAAAGTTGACCACGTCAGTGATAAATCGAGTAAGAGACACTTAGAATATTGGTGTTGGAAAAGTAGAGATTGTGAAAAAAAATAGGTCAATATGCCTGAAGGGGCAGGAGATGAAACACAAATTTATGTTTTTTGTTACAATAAGATCGATTTTATAGAAGTACATAAAGCATTAGGCCAACATAAAAGCTAAGATGCCTTAGTCTTTTTCTTGCGAGCCTGGTGGCACACATGTCACCAACCCGTTACAAAGAGGATGCTCTAAGCATCCATCCATTCAGCCATTCTTCCGAGATGTCAAGGTACAGTACGAACAAATACTAGCTTTTAAAGGCATGCTGTAATTATTTTTCAGGGCACCCTCAAGCTTACCGGTACATTTCCTGCGCTCTCGGGTGCTTGGCCTATCATTTGATGCAAAAAAAAAAACCGATATGTAAGAAACTTTGTGTCACTATCCCTTTAACGGAAGTCCGCAAGGGATGAGCGTACTACGCACGTGCAACGCTAACTCAAAGCTGGCGTACGTACGTTGCGAAAGCATAAGTGGGCGTTTTTTCCCATATTAATGTTTCGATCATGCTGATCAAACTGGCAACATACGAGTGCAGTTAATTTCGCATGGCTGTCTGAGCATGGCTATGATTCAAGCGTCACTGGATGGGTCGTTTAATGATTGTGTTCCGCCTAATAAGCAACTCTCCGTTTCTGGCAGCGCAAGCAAGGATGAAGGCGTATTATGTTTGCAAACCATCACCACGTTAAACTTTCAGTGCAGTATAGCAGCGATGGCGCTACTTGCTAGCGGCCAAGTACTGCAGCAAATCCGTCTGGCAGGCTCGGTAAATACTGTCTCGGAGTTCTGTTCAATTGCTACATCAATTCTTGTTCATGCAGCTTTTTGTAGCATGCACAAGATTTCACGAAATATTGTTAACGCACGGTAATGGAGCTGAAATATCACCTTTCACCGCGCGAAAAACAATTAGGTGCGTAGCTTCATAGGTTTGTGAAAGTACCTTGGTCTTACATACATTTCAGTGAAGCTTATGACTCCAACTGGTGAAAGTGGCACGGGTCGGGAGTCCACGCGTCCTATTTGTTTCTCTGCTAAGAAATGGGTTGACCGGCCCCAGTGTGCGGTCTTAAATCGTGCAGCGGGCTACCTATTATTTGTGGGCATTTCGAACTAACTCTGAATAGTTAATATAATATATTTCAAGTTTCACTGGGACCACACAGTGGTAAACAAAGTGTACTTAGCGGGAAGAGTCTTTTTTTCCTAATAAAATATGCCAACTTACAATCAGTGCGTGAAAACACGAATATGTATTCTTTTAGACCATATATAATTCCATAGGTTAAAGGCAAAGAGATGAGCGCCCATTATGATTACTTGTCATCAGCATGGGGAGTATCACGAGCAAAGAGTATCACAACACTATCTTAAAGTTTATTGATAATTTTCTATTTCTTATTGAGTTTAATCGGCAAAATGTATTCCTATCTCAGTTGTAAAATACTCTCACGAGTACCATGTACCGATGGCATCGCGATGCACTGCAGGACATGGGTCTCTCGTTATTGTTTTCCTGAAATGAGCTAGCCTGTTTTCTTGGGGGAACACAGACATTTTTGTCTAAGCCCAACAAAAGGCGGGCCATTGTCCGGTGACACGGTGAGATGCAAAGACTTGATCGCATGCACATGTAGTAGGAAAATCACCTGATGCCCCTAACACCACAAATGAGAATTACACTGTTACCCAGTACTTACAAAAGTAACTGTCTCTGGAAGGAAGTATCACACTCCTAATTTTTTTTCGGGTGGAGCGCCATTTCTCTACTTCGCGAGTCTTTTGTTGATGCCAAATTTTGCTGTCTATATAATAGCCTATTTGTGAAGCAATCGTTTCCTAAGAGCAATTACCGCAGACACCTTGCGCCTAAATTTGCTTGCACCTGAAATAAATGTACGCTTTTCGTTATACACTGGTGGTCGCTGAATTTAGCAATTTTGCTCGAACAGATGTTTCAGTGCGTTAAAACGTAATCACAGTGGCATCCTGCAGTGTTTTAGTGGAGCATCATCATCTTCAAAATTAGAAAAAGTATTCTGATATGTGTATTCCTGTATCTCTATGTCTAACTGTATATTGCAATACTCTTTTCGTCCCTTCCAATTGTGTGTCTAAAATATCCCGCCACATCGAATACAAATGTATCTTGGTATGTGTAGTTAAAGCTCCAAGCCCAAGTTTTTTAACATCTATATTCTAGAGTACTTTTAGAAGATATCTTCCCGGACCACCTTATCGTGCATTCAGAACCCAAGAGCTTGCGAAATCTGTTGCTCAGTAACTTAACTTATCTGCCATTTAGCTATTACAGGTCATAAACATGAACATAAGACTTGCGGTGAAACCCGGATAAAATATTTTAGCACCAACACCTAGTTTACGAGTTTGTGAACGTGAACGACTCTATAGCCTCGTCTCAGCTTCTCGAATCACTGAACCAAAGAGCGATGTATAAGCAATTTAGCAGAGCCCATAATACTCTCAGACCTTCATTGTCATTGTGTATAGTATGGTTACACGCATGTTCACATATGTTACAAGTAGAAAAGAAAAGGTCACCTGTGTGTTTCGGTGTTACTGTGTGGTTGTTACAGCATTATGTTGTGAAATGAACTAACCCAATGCCCTGGTTGATACTTAGACTGAATGTTCAGAGAATTAGTATATATCTGCAAAGATACCTATCTAAACTGAGAAAAACTTGAATAACATCAGGAAGCTGACGGCGTTGGAACGTGCGTAATAAAGCTGTTAAAACAGAGCATTCATTCGGGCTTCTAACAAGCATACCGACTGACATTCTGACGCTACGAATTATTCTATATGAATTTTTGGCGCATTGCGTTACATTGATTCTTTACAATAATGGTCAAGTGACGAAAACAGTAGTGTCTTGAGCCCCCAAGCTTAGATAGTTGCTTAAAAAAGTTCATTCGTCGTACAGGTGCATGCGTTGCTACAGTGTAGCTTTTTGTTGCGATACCTAATGCGGACAAGTTTACAGCTTCCTTTAGCGCGCGCCAAAAACGCGCATCCTGAGTAGCACTGTGTGTGTGCTCAGTACAATATCTAGCACACCGTTGAATCAATGTGCCGATGTTGCCACAACATGTCTGCTATTTCAGATGCTATTTCAGATATGAGGTAGTTGAAATGAAAGTGTCTTAACCTTATGAAAAGTATGTGTATTGTTATACTATAAACTGGTAAAGTAAGATGAAATAAGTAATATGAAAAGGAGCATAAACATTTCTCGTGTGAAGCACAATTGTGTGCCGAATTTTTTTTCTACTTGAAGAAGCAAGCTTCGAAACCACAGAGTGTCAGCAGCCACTGAAACAGCATCAAGTGTAGTTCGGACAGTTCTAGAGAAGTAATCCTCACTCACCTTTCTCAACTGAAGTTTTTTTTAAGCAACGGCAACTATTTGTCTTGAAATATCAGCGACTCAGGGCTATCTTCGGTATTAGAACTACAACCAACTCTTAGGATACATTATCGTTCCCATATTGTGATTTAGAGCATAAAAATGGACAGGGTAGTGCATATATTCTTCATGCGCCCGGAACAATTCCCATTGTTCTTCTCGTCCAGACAAACATCTTGTACGTTTCAGTGCACTTTATGTACTTATGAACTAGCAAATGAAAATTCTCGCAGAAACAATGTGTATTTGCTAAGGAGCTATTCGTGCTATTGAATAATATTAATCCTTTGAAAAATATTCTCTCAGTGATTGTAGCCCCGGTAAAGGCACGAATTTTTTTTCTTTCCAATTTTTCGCCCATTCACAAGTTAATACATCATCGGTCTGAAGTTTTTGAGCAGTAACTGACAATTTCGAATAGTAACTGACGGGTGTTTTTTTTATCATGCGCCTATTTCAAAAAACAAACCAAATTCGAAACCTAATTTTAAGAGTTATACCTAAGATTTTTAGGTCTCAGAGAAATGGAATATATTTAGATAGCCTACTGCAAAATGTACATTTTTTATTGAAAGCTTTTCAAAAAGAGGTAGGACGCATTTCCCCTATGACAATACTCCAGTGCTCTGACGATACTCAAGTTGCATGCCTACCGAAAGAACTCAAATAATGAAAACAGGTGACTATATGGAATGGTACATATCTTATTGCGTTATTAGTGCGACGATTCTAGGGAGAGCAGATCAATCGTTTTGTGTATGCGATCTACTTCTCTTGCAGACTGCCTTTTCCTTTTAGTACTGGAAAATCGAAGTGTTGTACTAGTAATTACAGTAAGCCACCCAAATACAAGTTATTATGGAGTGGCTCGCATGAATGCCTAGATGTCATCCGAAGGTGGTGGGCTCTTGAAATGTACGATTGCCGAAATCAAATTGAACAATAAACGCAGTAATAGCATTGGAAATGATCAATATTAATAATTAGCTTCTTGGAGACAACACTTAAAACTGAAATTAATTTTGATTCTTGCGATGGATGTCAGATTCTTGGTTTTGATTTCTCTCTAGCTCAGGGGGGTGTCCGTATTACGTGGTAGTAGAGGAAGTCTGTGATCAAATGAAAAAATTGGCCCTTGTCTGCATTTAATCTGCAAATGTCGTCGAAAGACGATAGTCTTGTGTGTGGAGAGAGTGAACAAAACATTTATTTGATGTTCTGCTCAAGAAAAATGGTGAATTGTGTTCTGGAGGTGCTACGTTAGAGTGCCTCGAGCGTGCAGCGGAGGCGAACGAGCGCATCAAGTCACGTCACACATGAGACTTGACCGCCATCTGGCAGTTTTTTTTTTTCAGAAACAAAGCGCGTGCCTCTGAGACGGGTGTGCGCGCCCGTATCAGAGGTGATAAGGTGTAGAACGCAAGGCGACAGGTAGGTGCCACCACCATATCGTTTTAGCAAAGCATTGGAAACACTCTTCGTTTCGTGCAAGCGTTGCATAGTCAGCGCAGCGTGATAAGCGCTACTGTACTTAATATTACTTATGTATGCCATTTCTAGTAAAAAGCGCACATGCAGAATATATACGTGTTGTTATGGTGTCCCAGATACGCGCAATAATTGCCTTTTACTCGACAATTGCACAAGTATGAACGCTGAATGTTGAGCAACATCGGTGAGCGCTGCGGAGGGGGTCGGCCGTTGCAAATACCCGATGCAGTTGAGAGTGTACAGACAGACAGACAGACAGACAGACAGATAGACAGACAGACAGACAGACAGACAGACAGACAGACAGACGGACGGACGGACGGACGGACGGGCGGACGGACGGACGGACGGACAGACAGACAGACAGACAGACAGACAGACGGACGGGCGGACGGACGGGCGGACGGACAGACAGACAGACAGACAGACAGACAGACAGACAGACAGACAGACAGACAGACGGACGGACGGACGGACGGACGGACAGACAGACGGACAGACAGACAGACAGACAGACAGGCAGGCAGGCGGACGGACGGACGGACAGACAGACAGACCAAACTTTTTGCGTCGACCGTCCCTATGAAAGACTATCATCTTTAAAAAATAACACCATATCCATGGCGTGAATGATAGAGAGTGATGCGAAGCTGGGTCCAAACGCTGCTGCCACGCCGCTTGGGCCTCCCGTTCATGTACGCCGGGATCTTGTCGGCGCCGCCGCGCACCTTCACGGCACGCTTCTGCCTCACGCGCTCGCACATCAGGCTTTCGTCTTCAAGCCCGAGCCACCGCCGCATTGCGCGTATCATACTTTTTATAGGCAAACCGAGAATCATCTGTTCGCCGCGTCCGTGCGTCGTCTGTCTGTCTGCCTGCTTGACGCATGGACGGAAAGATGGATTGATGCATAGACTTTGCAGGGACGGATGCACGTAAGGACGGGTGGACGCATAAGGAAACGCAGGAACGGACACACGGACGAACGGACGCAGGGATGGACGCACGACAGAAGAATACACAGAACAATATGAAGAAACAGTGCAAAGAAAAACTAAGTATTTTTATCAAGTTGCAGCGGTTGGAAAAGCTCATGCATTGTGGTATTGTTCTCGCCAAGAAACCAAAACCATCGATCTGGAAAAGTTTAGGTTTGTGGGCGTGACCTAGGTAAGAAGTGTTTTTCGTGGCGCTTTTTGTAACCAAAATGCAGTCGCCGTATTATTCTTACAGTAAAGAATTTTGTGCAGTAAGGATTAATGTTCTATCTTTCTGCATGTCTGAAATATTCTTCTATGTTTATTGGCTATCAATTTGTATCTTCGTTCCACCTGTATTTTCTGGATATGAAGTAAACACTTGTCTTTGAAAACTTTGAGTGTAGTCGATATCTCTAATTGCGAGTGGTGCGATATGTGAAACACATTATGTACCCTTGGTGCAATGACTGTGCATTAAGCTGGAATTATTATAATAAACGGTGCAATATTACTCTTGCGTTTCAGCAATGAGTTTTAGGAATGAGGAGGAAGTATTTCATTTTTGTACAAGAGAGATTTCGACTTATTGACAGCAAAGACATGTAGCTTGCATGAAACCCGCTAAAGCACTGTTCTTACGACGCTCACTTTTATATGAGATTATTGGCGTTACTGTTTTAACATACAAAGTGCTTTTCGAAAAATTTTGTTTTTCCACTGAAATAACTTGTGTGAGAACAATCCAGTCATTGGCAAGCACTGTAATGAATAATGATTCTGGCATTATTACTCTCATATAAGAAGACGAAACTGCGGCGAAAAAGGCGGTCTAACTGGCGAAACATAAGATAATGCAGCCTTCATAATGGTTACAATGTCTGTCCTCAATCTGCAAAGTGTGAACAAATGCGCAGGTAAGCAGTGTTCTAGAAGGTACCGAAGGAATCTAATGCTACGTGGTGTGCAAAGAAATGCATCACGTGAAATTTTGTTAAATATTTTAACAAGTGTAAAAAAAACGCATCTACTTGTTCTGACCTTTCAAGCACAGCTGCCAATTCATGCTTTCCAGTTGATAGTTCTGTAGGTGTTCACATTTCCTCTATATTGTTGTTTTGATGTTCGGAATCATCAGCTATTGCACCAAACTTCATTAGAGCATAACTCGGTAACAGATTGGGAACACAGAACTTGAAGAATGCTTAAAAAAGACTGTCTTGGCCAACACGTCTTGTCGTGTTTAATTTCCGCTTTATTTGAAAAAAGGCTTTCAGCCGTACCATGAGCCCGTCTGCATTAAATTGGTTGGGAAATGGTATCGTTGTAGGGACGTTATCTTCTTTGAACGCGCTCTAAATACTATTTGAAACGTGTGGCAATTCTGCATTTTTAGTCATTCATTCTCCGTACAGTTGATTTTAAATTGCGAAGCCCTTGAAATTCCAGTGACAGTACCAGAACCTCAGCCGTTTGTGTTTGTGTTTTTCTGTTGTACATTTCCTGCAAAGTGTTTTATTGACACATGGAGGACAATATCTTTTCTTACTAGAATTTTAGGCCGAGTTTTTAATATAGGTTTTTCAATTAGGCATCAGAAAAATGATTTTAAACCTAACCCTTTTAGTATAACTACCACTCAGAATGGAGAACTATTTTACCAACACGCAGACTGACAGAGTACGATTACTAAATTCCAAGGCGGCTTTACTGTCAGCAAGATGAATAAAAATATTTCCATGAGTTTATTGAAAAAAACGGAGCCGCACTTTTTTGAGCCCCTGGTGCTGTTAGTGCCAACCACGAGAGAGAGAGAGAGAGAGAGAGAGAGAAACAACTTTATTCCAAAGGGCAAGCTTAAGAGGAATTATATTTTTCTCATAGAAGGCAGCTAGGGGTCCTTGGGCCGTAGCGGCATGTTCTGCATGCAGATCACTTGTGGCTGGTCTTGAATTTTTGAGCGAAGTAGCGCAGGTTCCCACTGCAGTGCCCCCTACACGAGGTTGGGACAAGCCCAGATATTAACCCATATATGGCTAGCATCTTATATGTAGGACGCTGAAACTTTTCATTGTAGGTCGAACTTTTTTTCTGTAAAAAAGCTACCGCTACCTCACATGCGTTTACGGTGCCCTGCCCTTCTCACATGCAAGTCTCGGTGGTTGCCAGGCCACAAATCGCCACGTGATCGTAGTCGCGAAATCGTTGTTTTGCGTGAGTGAAGCCGAGCGCCATGCCGCAAAAAAAAATTGTAAGTAATATAGATTCAAATTGTTCTCGATTCTGCCGATATTGTTGTTAAGTGAAGGTCAGTTATTGGGCGTGCAGTAATCTTCGTATGACTGTGATACGCGCAAATTTTTTTGTTTGCGGTCTGTCAAACATTGCTGTCCTACATATAGCACGCTAGGCAGATCGGGTGTCGTCATCGTGTCAATCTGGAACGCGCGCTGCGTCGTGCCCATGAGGCTAGTAGTAACGTAATGGCATAAATATGAAGGTCCAGTACTTTCATGTCTTTATTTTATTTGCAGTCGGGAGATTCCATGCAGTTCATTTTACTCAAGAAAAGACCCGCAAACTCTAAACGACATTTTGAACAGTGTGCACGCTGGCGAAGATGTGCTTTCGGTTGTGGCCATTCTTCCGACCGACAATTACGCTGCGGCAGTGACAGATGAAGAAAGCGGCGATAAAGAAGGCACCAGCATGAACCATCTACCGAGGAGCACTCTTCGGGCTGAAGTCGTGGACTCGTGTTCAGAGCCAAGTGGCGACGAGGATGAGGAGGAGCCACCAGGTTAACTGAAGAAACGTCATGTCGAGTGGGATAAACGTGACTTCATCTACAGCTTCCCAGTTGGCGATTCGTGTGAGCCGAATTCCGCCGAAGAAACACCACTAACTCCAGTAGAGGTATTTAAAAAACTTTTCAATGATGAGGTAATCAACCTGCTAGTTGAAAACACCAACACCTATGCACAATAGAAGAATAGGTTGTTGAACGTACATGCTTGTGAGATGAAATGTTTTCTCGCATTTTGCTTCTCAGAGGCCCTGTACCTGTTCCAAGGCGTCGACTTTTGTGGAAAAACTGACGTGATTCTCACAATGAACTCGTCGCGAACTCCATAAGGCGTGACTGATTGGAAGCCATCCTAACAAACCTACATGTGGCTGACAACAACAGCTTAGTGCAAGAAGATAAATTCACAAAACTGCGACCACTGTTCAAGCTATTAAATGAGCGGTTCCTGTTGTGTGCTCCATTACTAGACTCCTTCAGCGTTGATGAAAGCATGTGTGAGAATTTCGGAAAGCATGGATGCAAGCAGTTTCTGAAAGGGAAGCCTATCCGTATTGGCAATAAACTGTAGTGCGTTTGCACCTCCCTGGGATACTTACTATCCCTTGAGCCCTACCAAAGGAAGCATGCCGCCAACATTGACGATAAAAACCAGCTCGGCCTAGGAGGATCTGTTGTTACAGAAATGGTCTCCAGAATTAAAGAAAGTTTCATAACTGTTTCTATGTATTTTTGACAACTTCTTTTCAAGTCCGAAGCTTGTTAGAATGCTTTCGACAATAGGTGTCAAGTGCACAGGCACCGTTCGAGATAACCGTATCAAAAACTGCCCCAACCTCACGCAGAAACAAATGAGAAACAAGGCTCGGGGATTCAATGGCTACATAGTTAATGCCGAATCGGAAATTTTGCTATGCCGTTGGAAGGACAATAGCATCGTTACAGTTGTCTCGAATGCTCATGAGCTTCAACCAAAACAAATGGTGAAAAGGTGCTCAAAAGAAAACAGATTCAAGGTCACGGTGGAGCAGCCTTTTTCAATCTCCAGATACAATGCCACCATGGGAGAGGTTGATCGACTGGATCAAAATATTGCGAAGTACCGCACTGCCATTAGAGGAAAGAAGTGGTACTCATCACTCCTGGCGCATCTTGTTGATGCATGTGTCAACAACGCATTCCAGTTATAAAGAAGGGGAACAGAGAAAGCGCAGCCTCTGACGTTGCGAAGGACAGTAGCAATGTCATATATAACGAGCTATGGCTCGAAGGCATTGCGTGAAAGAAGCCACCAATCTCCGCTGAAAGCGCAAAGCCAATTTGACCGCACTGACCACACAGTGATCCCTCAAGAGAAGCAGACAAGGTGCGCTCATTGCCATGAGAAAACCACCACACGTTGTGAAAAATGCGACGTCGGAGTGCACGTGAAATGCTTTAAAATGTATCATTCAATTAAGTAGCGCGTCTGCCTAGTGTCCAACGTGTAGGACGGTGCCGAAACCGTTGTTTGAAAAAGTCTTTTTGTGAATAAAAGCCTTATTCTATTTTCTGAAGTCGTAGAACGAATAATTCGGCAAAATAAATTAGTTTTCTTAATTTCCCAATGTTCAGGCTTATATGGGTTAAGACTATCTGTAAAGACTGATTGACACAGGTACATTCTCCACGTGGACGTTCTCAGTTGTACGTCTATCGACACTTACACGTACAACTGATTGGCACACCCACATTCTCAAAATGCTAACAATAAAGCTGATTGTCCATGCAGCTTACTTTTACATCTCAGCAGAACCAATCAAATTCGGTTGTATTTCTTTGTTTTGAAGTTTTGATATAGGAGTACGCTGATAAAGCCGACATAAATAAAATAGCAGCAAAGTTGCGACTGCATAAGAATGCACAAATGACTGGCTTGTAGCTCTAACATAAAGCCGGCGAGATTTACGTTCGTAAACAATTTTTTATAAGGCTTCATGTTATTATTTCCTTGCCTCTGCGTAGTTCTCTAGAGTGCGCTCTCAATTTATGACACAATAGTGCGTTATTACGCTGTTTATTGGAACAATTTATACTTACTGTAGCGCATTTGCATTACTAAAGAAAGAAATTTGTGCGCCTGGTTCGGATGCGTGTTGCTCTGTATAGCTGCGAAGTTAGGCGTAATATTTCCACTCGCAAAAGTAGACGTGCGAATTAAATGGTGACACTGTTTATTCTGCAAAAGAGATGTTTTTCAGTGGCATGGATCACGGCTCAAGTATTCAGAATCGGCCATGCTGCAACTAAATATCTTGTCGGCTGGTTGTAGAAACACTTATTTTCGAGACGTTCGATTGTCATGCATTTCTTGCCTCTGCAACTGCTGCTGTCAGATTTGCTCTCGTAGAAAGTTGAAGTCACGTCTAGAAAGCGAAGACGGGTGAAGGCAGGCAAACAGGCGTTCTCGCACTTGTAGTGCATTGTAGCTCTTACGAGCGTGAGGTAATATTCGACTAGGTGGGCATTCTTCATTGCTCAGTAAGCTCCCTATTTAAGCACAGTGTTTGCACTCAAAAAAATAACAATAGAGCAGTGGCCGAGGGGTTGTTGACAAAATTAGAAATGTTTTCGTACCAGCACACTCATCACAAATCTTTCTTTAAAGTCCGGAACAGCATATCGAACCACAGCCGACATAAATGTCGCGAGGCCAGTTAATTTTCTCTCGCTCTTTTAAATATGGGTTCCGGGTGGTCTTTCAAAAAATGTAATTCAGCGTGTTGCCTAGTAAAGAGTACATGGTATGTAATATTACATAACTCCTACGCATGATACCGTGTGTTGCCAAAAGCATGAGATTTACAACAGTATGCAGTTTTTTCCCAAGAAATATAATATAATGCCTAAATTTCGTGGCATTTATAGCATTTTCGTAATTTATATTCATTTAACAATGACCAGCAGGGTCCCGTTATTGCAGAAGAAATTATGTAATAATCACTCCGGACGTTTTGTATTGTGAAATATGTATTAATCACTCCGGCCTTCGTATAACATTTTCTGGTAGCACATAGTTCTTTGGTGTAAAAAACCTTATGTCCGGTGTAACTGCTACAGTAAATGTTGAATGCCGCCCTGCATGAATATCTCTCGTCCTGCCTTGCGCGTGCTAGTCTCCAAAGTAAGCAGGCTTCACTTCCTGAAATAGAACAGACGCCAGCATTTAAATATCAAAAAGAAATTATTCAATTCAAAACTTTCACAATTCAAAGAGATATTGGTGGCATCTCTAGCTGCAAAAGTCTTTTTATCAGCGGACATATACTGGTAAAGTACTGACAAAAATATGTTAGAAAGCGCCAAGCAGTACGCGTTCAGTAACGTTCGCTGGAACGCACTCATACCCAGCAATAAGGAACATTGCTTTTAGTTCACCGTTTTTCACATGACGTGACGTACAGACCTTAATATTTATCATAATGTGCATCACATCTGCAGACGTTCGCTGATGTTTCACCATAATCAACGACCACTTTCTTATCCATATACCGACAGGTGGTTCTTTTACCCCTGTATAGCTGATTTCCTAGACTATTGATTTGTGAAAGCTTTTCAAAAAAAAATCAACCTAGCATTATCCCACGCTATTGCAAGCACAAAGACAGGTTGTCTTACCGTACATGCCCCTAGAGTGCTATTAGCGAAGAACTTATTGTTACGCTACAAGTACCTTTTCAAAAATCACCCCATACATTTTCAATGAATATGCAAAAGTGTCTCGGGAAAAGATCAGCTGGGTAATTGAAGATAATTGCGTTGTTGCCAAGATTGTTGTCAGTACTAAGTGCCTGAAGTGCAATTAGCGAAACATCAAGCATTGCTCAGTAGCTGTTTTTTTAAAGAACGCCTTCATATCGTTACAACCAGCGCTTCCCCTTGGGGTCGCACTAGTAAATGTTCCATATTGGTGGACATGATTCAGTCATCTGCTTTTGATCCGGTGTTTCATCAGGGGCTTTGCCTCCACTTCAGATCTCGCGTTCGTCTACTTAAACATTGCCGTTCAACAGATTGTGCCGTGCAGCATGTCGTGTAGCTACGTCTGCTCAGTTGCCTCCTTCAGAACGTCACTTGTACTAAAGCACATGCCCAAACGACCCAGCCAGCGTGCTAGCCAAGGCTAGACTGGGTGACAAAGAAACAGTGCCTAGCCACGTGCGCCGCCGCGGCGGTCACGGAAAACCGAAAGCGAACGAACAGCTTCTTACTATGGATGTTGTATGACAAAAACTATGGTGCAACTAAGTCACGTTCTTGCATGGTCTACTGAATTCCTGGAAAAAGGCCATTCGTATAGTACTGTGTGCAGCACCATCCGTATACCCACATTATAAACCAAGCCGACAGTACTTGTGTATGCGCATTCTTACGGACTCACTGCACCTAAAAGAAGGCGCAAAGCTTTTGAGACCAACAATGAGCGTCGATATTTATGGTTGAAAGTTTAGTTCATCAGCATGCCTTCCTAAGGCGGTTCCCAAACGTGCGATAGTTTCTCTGAATAATATCAGGACCACCGCTTGGCTGTTCTGCTTTGCTATCGATATTTTAGCGTTCCTTAGCAGGGCGATGAATTGGCCTTGGCCGTTGTTGTTTCTAGCTCCTGTTTGCACTTGAAATAACGAGACGTAGACTTGAAAATGCCCAGTCTACATATCCCTCAGGGCCAGAGGGCTACAATTATAAGATGAGAACGGTAGTGTCGACACTTCTCACTGCGAGGGATGATGATGAACCGTTACTGTGCATTAACAATAGGAAGACATTTGCCTTGTGTGCTTACAGCTTCATAAATTGAAGACGTAGCTGACCCCATTGCGTTAGGCACAGTCACGCAATTGGCTAAGCAGTTTGAATTGTTCCGGTATTGCTCACGTTGTATCATGATAGTATTATGACTAAGGTGCTCCTGTATCAGACTGTGGTGCACCATCCGCAATTTTTTTATCTTGATGACGCACATCATAAAGCATGATTCTAAAGTACGTCATATGCATGTCTAGGCAAAATAGTTCAATTACTGCTGGATTATGCTGCTTGCCTCGAACTTACCAGTGCCGCTGAAAGCAATGGGGGCACCTATGTTCCCTAGTGAGGCGAAGACTGAGGAAGCTACTGTGCCCGTGGCATTCTCCTTCTTGTTTTAATTCTCCCAACCGCTACTTCCACCTCCCGCCTCTTGATGTTCTATACTTTCAGTCTTGCCTCTTCACCTCGCCCTTTTCCTCAGCTTCAATATTCTTTCTCTCCCCTCGCTCTTTCCTACTACAGATGTTTTTAATATACTTCACACCCTTCTTAACTCCCCCTAAATCTCAGATTCAATTCCCTCTCAAAACAACATTGTTTTATGCTGGGCTCCAGCAAGTTCAGGTGACGTACTTCCGTCACGGCTGTGACATTGATAAAATGAACGATATTGAATTATAAAGGGAAAAAAGCATAAGAAATAAGTTCTGCCAACTGGAATGAAACCTAGGATATCAGGGACTGCGACGAACGGTGCCCGTGGCACTACTGACCATGCTACCCAGGCAGACGCACAATACATCACAAATGCGTCCTACATCTGTGGCACATTCTCTCTTATGCAATATTTTCTGGTGGAGGAGTTAGGCCATGTGGTGCGGTGCCTATGTTTTAGCAGCAAAGCGAAGCAACGTGATATTGAAATTATTAGCGCTGGTAGAGAAAGATTCAGCGGTGAATCAGTTGAAGCATAGCTTACAAAATTTGTATTCTTGGAGGCCAGGGTTAAAGCAGTGTGACACCAACAAAATACACTGGGTGCTCCATCATCGATCATCGTGGAGTCACCCTAAATTCAGTTACGTTCTTCGTCTTTCATTTCGTGTTAGCGTGTATTGACCTGTTATCTGAGTACTGCCGTTTCAGACCCGTTTCAGAGCAGCGCCATATACCACTGATGCAATAAGTGCTTATGCACCACATGTTATCTCCAACATACCACCCTGGACGATTCCTAAGCCGATCGTGTGGACTTTTTATCTCAGGAATAACAAAAAGTCAAAAATGCCAACTGCTGGTCTTAAGCATTTCACTTTGTCATATATTCACTATATGTACGGATATAGAGTACGCATTTTTGCAGATGGATCTGTCACGCAAACCTCCTCAGCAGCAGCTTTTACTGTTCCTCAAATGGGAATCACTCAACGCTTCAAAATAGCACACCAGACATCATCTACTGCCACCGAGCTGACCGGCATCCGACAAGCTGCGTGCTACATTTTACAGCAGAGTCCGGCGAAATGGACATTATTTTGCGACTCCAAGCCGGCCCTTCAGCTAAATAGAAACTACACGAAACAAGACACTGCATACAGTCCTCTGGTGTGTGACATATTGAATATGTTGAATGAGGCATTTCAATCCGAACATACCGTTGCGTTGCAATGGATTTTCAGTCATTGTGGCATTGCTGGGAATGAACAAGCTGATGCAGAAGCGAAAATGGACGCACACTATTGGCGAAATGATATCGATTCACTTTTCCCTATAAGACATCAATGCCTTGCTGTCTAAAGGTATGAAGACATCTATGCAGGGACTATGGAATAGTGCGGATTATCGCCACAAGCTCATTGACAGGATTGACTCTTGTCGTGTTTTCCGCCTTCCGTTCCGACCAAGGCGAGACCAAGAAACGCAACTACATAGACGGCGGCTGGGTGTTGCACACACGTGACGATACTTATGCATGATATGACAAGAGAAAAGTCCTAACTGCAACTTGTGTAACACACCAGAAACTATTAATGACATCCTGTGTGTGTGCCCTTTATATGCAGTTGAAAGACAATCTTTTAAGTGCCTCACAAAGGACCTAGACTACCTACCCTTTTCGGAAGAGAAACTTTTGGGTGCTTAGGAACGTGTGGATCACGCTCAACGCAGTTTAATGGGCCTGCGCGCATTTCTAAGTAAGACAGGTTTAGATTCCAGTCTTTAGAAAATCTGATAATGTAGAGACTTTTGTGCGTGTACTACACAGAACGAGATATTGTGTGCAGTGACCTAATTGTGCTATACCACAATCACCCCTCATCATACCCTCCTGTTTCTTTCCCTTTTTCCTTACCCCCGTGTGGAGTAGCAGGCCAGAAACCCGCTTTCAAGCTGAACTCTTCTCCTTTTTCTCCGTAAACACCTTCTTCTTCTCCTTCAAGTGCTTCAATAAGGCAGCTACGTCAGCGGGAAAGTGTAGTGCCTTGGTGGAGCGAGACAAAGGCCATGGTGACCTGGACTATCGGCTCGCGTTCGTGATTGATCCTACCAACCTCTGCCTCCCGTGTTGCCGAAATATATCTTGGTAGTGTACGCATGAGCACGGGCGTAGGTTAGCGAATTACTCCGCAGAGCACACTCAGTCACTTGTCTCCTTAACTTACAGCCCTTTGAAGAAGTGCATGTCGAGTACTAGTGTTCGTTATTAGCTTTTTTTATGCCATCTACGTGGGATTCACTCGTGTAAACTATACATTAAAAACTTCGGCTACCACAGTCGTTGAAGCTTTATCATGAGTGTTAGTCTAAGAAGGTAACTGCGCCATTTGTCGTCAACGGGGGCACTTCCTTAAAGTGTTACTACTGCCACCAAACACCAATTGCAACTTACTGAGCACTACTTCTGTACAGACACGTTTCATTTCCGTACTATCCCGACGGTTATGACGGAGAGATCAGCAATATTTTCCAAGTCTTCGCTACGCAATGATCTTCGTGGCTACACGCGATGCTCTCTTTTTAGATTTGTGTTTTATTATCACTTCGTTTTTATATATTTCTTTCTCTTCTTTTTGTCATTTCATGCTCAAACTTTCAAAAACCTGTGACATATATTTATTTTTATTCATATTCCAATTCAATGCAATCATGACTTTCTTTCTCATGTGCATTCTATTTGTTGTGGAGAAGCAGAATACCGTGAAGCCCCTACAGGTTGCACTGCGCCACATTGTGCTGTGCCAACTTTCCACTGTGCGAGCGTATAAGCTGCATCTCGTCTACCACTTATGTTTCCACCCGCATACTAGGTGGTGGAGTGGGCAGTGGAATGGACAGTGAGCCAATGATATGTGTGATCTTACCTGATCGTGGGTTCGTCGCAGCGACAAAGCATATTGAGTTAGCATAAAGTACATTGTAGCTTCCGGATACCCGGGGATCCACGTGATGTCTCTCTGCAAGATAAATAGGCAAGTGCACGCTTGTGATATCTTCATATAAAATCTTCCAGAGTTATAAGATGTCGCTTTAAATATACTGTACAGAAGAGGACGGTCTATTGTCAATGGTTTGATGAAATAAAGCGACATATTGAACACGTGAAGCTTTCCCGACATAACAGTCTTGGCACACAGTGTTTGCAAACTGCCTAAACGCTATAAAAATTGCGATAGCTGTTCTTTATATGTACTGTATAGAATGACAGGGGCGTACTTGTTTGTTCTTAAAGTTAAGGCTGAAAATAATCTCTCTTCCTGTATATGATTTTAGCCGGTGCATGTTGTGTTATATGTGTTCGGCATAATCATTGAGCTCTTTCGGCATTCCTATGTAACTGAACAAAATCACAGCATACCCACGGAGTGAATGATGATGAGTGGGGTGAACCGTTTTTCTGTCAATATGGCCAACCGTCAATTCGCCCGTCTTTCCATCCGTCTGTGTTTTTATCCAATTGTTCATTCATACGTCCGTGCTTCTGTCCGTTTGTACGTGAGTCTATCTCTGCCTGCGTACGTCTGTCTGTCCGTGTATGCTTCCGACCGTCCATCTATCCCTACTTCTGTTCATCCATCAGTCTGTTCACCTGCCCGTCTTTCTATCTGTCTGTCAGTCCGTGCTTCTGACTATCGGTGTGGACGTTCGTCCGTGCTTCATCTGCACTCCTGTGCGTCCGTTCGTCCGTGCGTCCGTTCATGTGTCTGCCTGTACGTCCGTCCCCCCGTATGTCACTCACACTAGCACCACCTGCTGAGTGAGTCATACAACTAGGTGGTTACGAACCGGTCAGAAAAAAACATGCATAGACAGACCCCCTGCTTCCGAAGCTTCGTCCCTAATATTGAATACTGCACTGTTCTTCACCAAATATAACTTAAATAGCAAGGTCACCAACAAGTGCAAACCAAATGTAGTTAATGGGCCCTGACATCTTGCTGTAAGAACGTAACCCTCTTTTGTTCTATTTGTACACGGGGTATCTCATTGGGCATCATTGTTTCTGGAGTATTTACGTAATAGCGCACATATCCCGCGAAGGTAGGGCATAAATTTGCCCTAACTATTGAAGTATATGTCAATAACCATGGCTGCGCCTTAGATAAGAGTGAAATAAAAAATGACCGCTGTTATGACAGCTTTCCTGGAGGTAGGTCAAAATGCGGAGTGTTGAAATTATGGACCGTCTCCCAGAAGGGAGCTCTCACGAGACGTAAAGCAGCAGTGATTTGTATGGCATTGACCCGGTTGAAATGCAAAAACATAAAACGTGGGTTAGGCTTCGTGAAAGTTTCACACTAGATAAACGAACCAAACGGTGTTTCCACGCGATGTGCTGTCGACCGTTTCGGGTGGTGAAGAGGGTGAAGTGAGAGAGAAGTTTGTATCGAGCGGGTGGAGGAGCCGGCAGCTGTGGGCGCTGTAGCAAGCGTGCTGCGGGTGAGAGAGAGAGAGTCACGTCAGCGTCCACCTGCGAGAGAAGCATGCGAGGGAAGCGTAATGCCAACGCGCATTTGCGGCGTGACCTATTGGAACCGCTCCAGCACCTGCGGCGCGTTCATATGGACGTACATACGTACGGCGTTTTGCATGTGAGTCAATGAGCTGCTTCACATCTAAAGCTCTGACGACGTATTTACATATCTAAAAGACGTGTTCTTGGGTTATTTTTGTCTCAACAACGCGCGGGTGTTTGCGCAATAAACTAATCAAGGAGTTATAATGGGTGTACACAATGCGTTATCAGTGAAGCGCAAAATCTTCGGCGTGCGTCCTGTCATCGTCACAGTTAACTTCCAAGCCAGAGGCCAGCCAAAGTATGTGGCGTCTGGTGGGACATTTTCGCACGCTATGAATTGAAATTAATGCGTAAACTTATCGCGGACATCTGAAAACCACGCGTTCCTACATCGCATGGTAATTATCATCATCGTGGAAGGCTTAAGCAACAACCTTAACAGAATCATCGATACGGCCACTTTATATATGAGATCCGCGGCTGAAACATCAGCTATGGCTAAATCAGGCTGAGAAAAATGTATATGTTTGAGTGCACGTTCACAGCATAACCACTGACCTATTCGCTGATTATTCCCTATACGTGGCTGGTATACGATAGGCCAGTGTAAAGTTCCGCACTAACAAAATGAGTGTAGCAAATTTAAGTAATTGAACTGCGTAAAACGTGTGTAAATGACTAGACGTTACGTAGTTTTAGGAGCTAGCTTGCCATGTTTTTAAGTAGGGGTGAAGTCCATGGCCGTAACCTTCCTTGCAGAAGCGACTGATAGAGGCGCAGCTGTTTCTCTGATTCAAGAATGATTACCGGATGTTGCACCTATGTAAATCACTAACTTTCGGCGCACTTGTTTCCTCTTGGTCGGGAGACCGATGTCAAAATGTTACCAAGTGATACTACGATCTACCATATTACTGTTATGTATATAGTGCATCAAAACGTGCATAATAAATATTGTGTACAAAATGTGCATATTCATAACATCGTGGTGACGTCTTGATATGAAGCCATAAAAAATAGTTAGGGTGGATTTTTGGTCATATTTCAAGTTGATTACGACGAGTTTTTGCCATTGCCGTTTCTGTTATCGTCGCGAGCCATATGAAGCTGAAAAAAGCCGCAGCTTTCTCGCAAAGGCGATGCAATGAACACGATAGCAACAAACTGGAAGGTTACGTGCAAAATGGCAAGCAGAACGAAACGTGCCCCACGTTTCTCACGCACAAATCACGCACGAAACGTGCACACAAGTACAGAAGTACGCAAATAATCGTCTCAATTGTTACTTCGCTCTGTTTAAAAAGCACCCTTTTCGCCAACGAAGGATGTGCAACGAGTGCAGTGACCTTTGTGTGCCCTGTATTTACAACAGAATCATTCTAGTGAAGCTCACCGCCAGCAAAGACGTATGACCCTCTCCACCAGAAGAACGGGGTGGGTGCTCGAGAGATTGTTCACTCCCCTCCTCTCCGCTGGCCAATGTACGCGTAAGAGATGAGAGCCACCGCGTTCTCTTTGTGCCATCTTACTGATAATACTGAAAATATGATAGCCCCCTCCCCGAGATGTCCGCCAACAGCAGTAACTGGTAGGTATAAATAGCTTGCCAATTAAAAGCTGAAGAGGTACCTCTCGATGGCTCAGTGGCTAACGTCTCGCATTCGCGACGTGGAGGCCCCACGTTCGATTTAGCGCACCGGATTCCTTTTTCTGATTTTATTCTGTTGTGTTTTCCTATAAATAGATACGTATACAAATACGGTGCATGACATAGACGCCGAGGTCCACATATGACGCTGACGCCCACGCCGGGTCCGCGCTTCAATCCCGCCGAGAGTGTCGATATAATCGCTATCGCAATAATAGAATAACAACTCCCTTCCCTGCCCATTACACGTTCTACCAGCGGCGAAGAGCGCGGGAGCCGGAGTGACTATCGTGACTTAAACAAAAATCAAACAAGCCGGTCCTTCTGCGTCGCTCAGTAAGCCCTTTCAATACTATCACGCCTCTCGGGAATCTTGCTATCGAAGCTTTTATCGAGAATGAAAACATGCGAGGGGGTGGCTCGAGCAGCAACTCTGCGCGGCCGTCATCACTGGCACGCGCGCTCTTCTTATCTCTGGAACCATTATTACACGGCTGCGCTCTCGACGCGAGAACATTGTGCGAAAAGTGTCCAAAGAGCGGCCATACTCTCCGACACCAGTGTTTTGTAGAGTTGCTCAAGATTATATCCCAAATGGTTAGCAGCCGGCCTCAATTCTCGCAAGAATGCAATATCTGCTATCGAATTCCTTGACTCGCCCTTCAAAGCAAAGTGTGACTTTGGAAGCGGTCACCCAGTAACTCATGGTCGCATCTATCCGCCATTTCTCCTATCACTTCCCCCTCGTAATATTGCAGTAATCGCGTGTTGGCGCAGTCTTGTTGCAGCGTTCGAGTTATTCGGATGGCTTCCACGCGCACACGTCTTCTCTGACTCTTGCACTCTCTCAACAATGACGCGCCCGCCGGGCCACGGCAATGAATGCCCCTCGCGTCTTCCGTTGGGCTATACAACGCTCTTGCTCTGATATCGTAGCGTAGCTTAGCCAGCATGCCCAATCATGCGAGAAGTGAGGCGCACGCACCACGTTCCATTCTTACCAACACCATTTTAATGAACACAGGCTTTTGCCAAGCGCCCTTAGAAATTTATAAAGTGATACTCGATTATTCCTTCAAATCTTTTTTGTACACATGTTGAGGTACGCAATGAGTAAGGTATATCACCCAGAATGTCCATCACTTTATGTCGTCTTCTGCTGCGAATCCTCGCGCAATATTGGATATTTTATTTGCAGTGTGATTTTGGTAGATTTCCCGTTTTTATTGACCATTCCAAACTGAACGTTGTCTGGGATACTTCAAGGCTGAAAAAACTTTGTCACTTTTATTCACGCGTGTATGGAGTTGCATCAGTGAATCGGTACGGCTTCTAAACATATTGCCGCTCAGCAGTGAATGTAATATTTGAGTCGTGCCAGATGGTTTGGGATCTCGCATTGGAATACTTTCAGCTATCATATGTGTTCAAGGCCGTCACGTTTAGACGTATTAGGTCCCCTGTAGGACAACGCCCTCTTCCAGCAATCTGTAGTTCTCTCTAGTTTCCAGAGATCATTTGAACTCGTCTCATTACTTCGTTACCCAGTCCAACTACTGCCTTCATCGATTGCTGTATAACTTATGATTTATACATAATGGATGTAATTTATGTAATATGAATTGACACTGAAAATCTGCATAAAACTTTATGGGGAAAGCATCTATACTACACTGTCAAAATTTCAGAATTTATGTCTGAAAAAGTTCAGAATTTATGTCTTGGATACCTGGAAATTCTTGTGCCAGGACACAGCGCAAGGACGGACACTCCACATAAATGACGGCTGACTATGAACGATGTTGAATTGCTCTAAATTCGTCCAATATTTTTAATCTGCCTACTGTAAAAATGTTTCAAGGGGGAACTGAAGTAATCAATGATCGTCTTAGAGTTAGGTAGCATATGTGACATAAAGCACTAGATAAATGAAATATATTTTACTCACCTGTGAAAGCACTCGCAACAAATAGTAACACCTGCCCCACGTGTTGCACATAATAGAACGCATTGCTGAAAAAAGTTCAAGTTCAGGGTAAATTTTAGAGTGTAGAGGTATCCACAAAGTAATATGGACTGCCGCAGCAGTTGCCGCTCGTAAGCTGAGCGTGCTGGTGAAAAGGTGGCCCCACAGTCCCTGCATGTGCGACATTCCTCGCAAGCTCTTCTCACTATGAACGTAGTGCAGCTATAAAGATATATCAGTGCACCAAAAGCAAAAAATAGACAGGAAGAGCGATAAAAAAAGAAGAAATAGAGGAGGAAAATGACCAAGAAATCAAAGGTAGCGAAAAAATGGCTAGCCTTTTAAGGTTTGATAAGGGGCCGCGCAAAAGTGGCCTGTGAAAAACTGTACACATGGCGGAGCATATCAACATGCATATATATTCATCAGTCCATTCGAAAGCGAAATAGTTACTTCAAGCAATAGTCGCGGAATGCTGCGGTCTAGTAGGCAGTCATCAAAAAGTTTTCGCAGTAAAAAAAAAAAAAAGCTGAGAGCGGCGAACCACAGCTCTGCTTTCAATGAAGCATGTGAACATCTACAAGCAAAAAGTAACTATTAGTAACTCAAAAGTCTTAAGACTGCTTTAAACAAAAGAAAACGATTGACATATCTTGCATAGACTCACCTGGAACCTTTAATAAAGCGCTTTGACGTGTGTGGCTAGATAACTAAATGCAAATACTTATTAAAAGTAATTAAGTGTCGCAAACAGTAGTGTAATGTACCGACTATCAACGCATAGTAAGAACGATGGTCACATCTAAATTGGAACATTAAGATAATGGTTTTTGTTAATGAATATAAGCATACAAAAACATTTATAGCTGATAATAAATTGAGGTAGCCCCAAGTGTTGTCATAGGTGGCCCCTCTGGGTCTCATCAAAATGATCCTACCGCCGTAGCAATACATTTTTTTTTCAAGGCAACGGAAGCGATAACGCGGCCTCCACCGCCAGCCTCAGCGCGTGGTGGCGGGCCGTGCTGCTCAGTTCAGCCCAGGGCGATCTGCTATGGGCAATCTAGCGGTCCAAGGAAGCCGCTAGAAGGCAATACCTTCTAGCCGACCCCTAGGCGGTAGCCCAGCCCACTAACACGCTACATACAAAATGAAGATTTTCCCATCCGAGCAAGCTAGCTGCAAGTCTTACACTAACGTAGGCTCCGTGTATAGAGCTAGAAACGCTTTTTATTATCCACCAAGTGCATAATAAAAACTGATGAAACTGATGAAACTGATGAAACGTTGCACTTGGTGTCGTGCACGAAGTGCAACGACAAGCACAAGCTTGGCGTTGAGTGCTTGTCGTTGAGTGTTTCTTTACTCTGTGTGTGTATTATTTGCGGCCAAATCATGTCAGCATATGCTTCCTGTCTCATCAGCCTTCTCAGTCTATTCTAAACTTTCATCTTGTCCGTGTACGAACTTACACCAGGCTAAAATTTTTTCACATTTTTCCTCCTGCCTTAAAACTAGGTAGGGCTTCCTGTGATTCATTCTGTTTTATTTGAATGACATTTTCATCATATACATGATTGTGGAGTAAGTTACAAGCATTATAATGCTGCTGTTACGCTTTTCTCTCTCTCCCATGGCATCATCTGCGGGCGCAGGCGCTTATCCTCACCCCTAGCAACCAGAGCATGTGGTGCAAGAGAGTACAAGAGAGGGTAAGTGCAGTGCTTTGCCGCTCGTTTTTTCACTGTTAACTTTTTATACTCCATGCGTCCCACTTTCCCGTCCTCTCGTGCCTCACTTTCGACCATTGGCTGGCTGGGCTCCTTTCAAGAACATCTGGGAACGTGTGCTCAAAACACCGCTGTGAAATGCCAAGACCGAGTCAAATACGCTGTTCGTTTTGTTCACTTGATAGTATTTTTAACCGTGCATGCCAGATACTTGAGCTGGAAATGTATACCATGTTTCTCGTGACAAAAAGGCCACGTTAGGCAAACGGCACTATTGGCTGCACAGTGTCAGAAAATAAATAAAACATTATTCTTTTACGCTCGGTTCTCACGTGTGAAACGCCGTTATGGACGCTAGTCAACGCATTCGCATTACCTAACGATTCCCTTAGGGAAGGTTAGGACACTCTTCGTCTGAATAGCAATTTGTTTTGAGGAAGAACTTTTGTGCAGACTCAGCCCCGTATCTGCATGTATCACTGCAAATTTCGTCGAAAGACGATAGTCTTGCGTCTGAAGAGAGTGAACAAAACGTTTATTACACGTTCTGCGCAAGAAAATCGGTGAGTAATATTCTGGAGGCGCTGAGTTAGAATGCCTCAATGTGTGCAGTTATACGTGTAGTGGATGCGAACAAGCGCATCAAGGCGCGTGAGACATGGGCGTTATGTGGCAGTTATCTTGGAAAACGAAGGGTTACCATTGATATAGCAAGCGCACGGCGTGCGCGCCTGCCTCGGAGCCAATACGGCGTAGAACGCAAAACGAAGAGTACCGTGTAATCTTAGCAAAGTGTTGGAAACACTTGCGTTTGCATTGTCGACGCAACGTAATAAACGCTGCGGTCCTTATGTTATTCTAAAAGAGAACAGAAGAGAAAAGTCAGCCCCATAACTGTCTGCATCAGAGTGCGACAACTCAAGAGTAGCTCACGAGGGATGGGGGTAAGGAGGGATACAAAAGATAGGAATAAAAGTAGACAGATACACAGGGGGAAGGAAAGAGCGAGGCGCCGAAACATCGAACGAAAGAAAACGATGGAAGTAAAGAGGAGATAGGAAATATGGACATGGTCGCAGAAGTTCGAAGACGGGGCACCACTCCATGAGAGCTCTTGTCGGTGGCAGGAGATGGCCTAGGGCGAGCCAGTTGGCCAGAGCTTAGTTGTCGTCGGAGATCGTGGGGTGTTGTGACCTACGCCAGAGTTGACGAGGAAGCTGCGCTCTTTTAAACCTCAAACAAGTAGCCGGCAGGCCGGCTGCCTATGCCCGCCAGGTATTTTACCTCCTAGCCTGAGAGTGAGACGACGTATCACCACGACGCCGTAAGCTGTTCGAGAGAGGATAACAAATACAGCATCTTCTTTGGAAGAGACCACGGCATCCGCCACAAATATCCCACTAATTAAGCGAGTAGTTCGGTGGACCTTTTGTTGTATGCTGTCATGAGCTTGGGACCCCTCGACCAGCAGCAAACACACGACGGGGAAGAGCCCCACTAGTGCCCCCTTGAAGTGCAGAGTCACGCATCAATATTAGACGTTCACGTGGGCCGTGCTTGCTCTTCACGCTCTACGATTTTATGTGATCTATGATTGGACAGTACCATCTGCACGTGTTCCCTGATCTAGGAATCCGGGGAAAACTTACCTTTCCTACTGAGCCACCAGACTCATGTGGAGGAGCGTCATGTGGAGGAGCTCGGGATTAAAAAGGTCGCCATGTGAAAAAGAGCTCGTAAACTACGAGAGCTCACCATGTATTTATTGTAATTAAACCCTCTTCAAGTCTCTCTTCCTCCTCCTTCAACATCTTCATCCCGGACCTCCGGTGCCTGCAAACCGCTGTCGTAACAACTGTTTGGCACCATTGGGATACGACTCAGCGATGGAGAATCACATGGACCGGAGGTCAGCCGAAAGCCTTAGAATTCGGCGGGATTAAAGCTACAAGTGACACCAACAGTCGGCCCACATGAAGCAGCTGGCTGGAGAGATGGATCATGTATAGGTGAGTGCTTGCTTTTCTTTTGAGTAAACCCGGTTTTAAAAGAGGATAAATTTTAGAACTGGCAGTTAACTTTGTCGAAAGAATCAGTATCGCCGTTTCGGGAAGTTATTTTGGAAGTAGCGAGCACTCAGTACAATCATGGGCTTACGGGAGCTGCAGAAGTCAGACTTGTTGCTGTTGTGTGAGGAATCGGGGATCGATATCGATGGTTTGGACCTAAAACCCCTAATATTTCAAGTGTATATAGATTTTGGGGCTGATAATGCGGAGCCCTGTGAAGCATAGGACCTCATCAGTCAAAGAAAGAGACAGCAAAAAGAAGGGGCAAATAGGCGTGAGTGCGAAAGACAGGCGCGTCGCTTAGAATGTGAGCGTGAAACACAAAGACAGCAGTCTGAGAGAGAGAAACACTGCTTACTAGCGAACGTGAAATAGAAAGACTGGCGCACGAGATTGCTATGTGCAAACGAGAACTTGAGTTGAGGAATAGGCCAAGCAGTAGTCCCCAGCAAGTATTACCTTAGCGCAACCTAAAGGCAGAGTTCTGGATGTCTAAGTACATGCAGCCATATACGGATTTAGGGGATATTGGCTTGTACCTAATGGTATTTCAACGGAAGTGCGAGGAACTGTCATTTGAGCGAGGCACATGGTGTCAAAGGCTACTCAAGGTTCTGCCTTGCGAGGCAGATGTTGCTTTTGCATGACTCAGTGAACAGGACGCGAACTACGAGGTAGTGAAGGCACAAAGGTTCCGGATATTCGGAACTTCTGTCTGGAAAAAAGAAGAGCAGCTCAGACAAGATACTGAAAGAAAAGCGAAGCAGAAAGAGAAGAGTCTGAAAGTGAGGTGCGTCGGAAAGCGCTGGACGTTGAAGCGCATCATGTAGCGCCAGAACCAGAGATCATGCTAGAAAAGGACCCGCATATGCTAGAATGCATCAATGTAGAGCATATAGAGAACGAGGCCTTGGCCGGTCTGGAGGTAGAGACGGTAATAAAAATGGTCCTTGCAAGGATGACGTGGGTGCCAGCCACCCTAATGGGCTCCGTAAGGAGCTAGAAACCATCCTCATGCCTCGAGAGCACGTCTCGAGATCGTCACATGTAAATATGATTAGCGCAGTGGCTAATCAGGGCCAGAATGTGATGCTTCAGGAATGCAGCGATGCCATCGGAGAGGGCCCAGTTAATAATTTCATCAGTGTTGAGAAAGATAATTTGGCCCGACAGTCCGTCGTCATGCAGAGTTCGAAAAGCATTAACGGGAGGAAAAATGTAGCACAAGCTCCAACGAGCTTCGCAATT